GCAGAAACCACCATCCCCATCCCCCGCACTCCCCCGGAACGGGGTCCCGGTTCTTTTCCAGCGCCGGGACTGACACCGGGGGCTGATGTCACCGGCGGGAACCGGCGCTGAGTCACGGCGGGGCCGCGGGGACCGGAGGGGGGGGTGGTTCCCACGCCCTTTGGTTCATTCATTCATTCATTCATTCATTCATTCATTCATTCATTCATTCATTCATTCACGCAGGCTCCGCCCTCTCCGGTGTCCCCGTCCGGTGTCCCCGGTGGCTGCAGCCCCGGGCTCCCAGCCGGAATGCCCCGGGGGTCCCGGGAATCTCCTTCGGGGTCCCTTCAGTGTCCCGTGGTCCCGGGGATCCCGGCCGGGCTGTCCCGTTCCCGGTGTCCCGGTTCTGGCAGCCTCGTCCGGGCTGTCCCGGGGCTCCCGGTGTCCCTGTCCTGTCCCGGGATCCCGGACGGGCTCTCAGGGGGTTTCGGGGTCCCGTTCTCACTGTTCCCCGATGCCGGGGATCCCGGAGGTCCCTGTCTTGGGGCTCCCGTTCCCAGCGACTTGAGGGTCCCGGCCGAGCTCTCGGGTGTCCCGGCAGCTTCGTTCCCGGTGTCACTGTCACGGGGCTGTTCCTGATGTCCCGGGGATTTCGGGGGCTTCTGTCCCTGGGGTCCTGTTTCCGGTGTCCCGGGCGTCCCTGTCCCGTTCCCGGGAGTCCCGCTCGAGTTCTCGGGGAGTTCCCAGTCCCATACTCGGTGTCCCCTTCCCGGGGATACCGTTCCCGGGTGTCTCTGACACGGAAGCCCCGTTCCCGGTGTCCCGGGGATCCCTGTCCCGTTCCCGGTGTCCCGGGGGTCCCGTTCGGGCTCTCGGGGGGTTCCCCGCCCCGTTCCCGGTGTCCCGGGGGTCTCCAGCCCCGTTCCCGGTGTCCCGGGGATCCCTATCCCGTTCCCGGTGTCCCGGGGGTCCCGACCGGGCTCTGGGAGAGTTCCCCGCCCCGTCCCCGGTGTCCCGGGGGTCCCGTTCGGGCTCTCGGGGGGTTCCCTGTCCCGTTCCCGGTGTCCCGGGGGTCCCGGTCGGGCTCTCGGGGGGTTCCCTGTCCCGTTCCCGGTGTCCCGGGGGTCCCGTTCGGGCTCTCGGGGGGTTCCCTGTCCCGTTCCCGGTGTCCCGGGGGTCCCGGTCGGGCTCTCGGGGGTCTCCAGCCCCGTTCCCGGTGTCCCGGGAATCCCTGTCCCGTTCCCGGTGTCCCGGGGATCCCTGTCCTGTTCCCGGGGGTCCCGTTCGGGCTCTCGGGGGGTTCCCCGCCCCGTTCCCGGTGTCCCNCGGGTGACACCGGGGATGGGGGTCCCGGTACCGGGTGGTGACACACCGGGGATGGACCGTCCCGGTACCGGGTGACACCGGTAATGGAGGGTCCCGGTACCGGGTGGTGACACACCGGGGATGGAGATCCCGGTACCGGGTGATGACACACCGGGGATGGGAGATCCCGGTACCGGGTGGTGACACACCGGGGATGGAGGGAGCCGGTACCGGGTGATGACACACCGGGGGTGAGGGGTCCCGGTACCGGGTGATGACACACCGGGGGTGAGGGGTCCCGGTACCGGGTGATGACACACCGGGGGTGAGGGGTCCCGGTACCGGGTGGTGACACACCGGGCATGGACCGTCCCGGTACCGGGTGGTGACACACCGGGCATGGACCGTCCCGGTACCGGGTGATGACACACCGGGGATGGAGGGTCCCGGTACCGGGTGACACCGGGGATGGAGATCCCGGTACCGGGTGGTGACACACCGGGGATGGAGGGTCCCGGTACCGGGTGGTGACACACCGGGGATGGACCGTCCCGGTACCGGGTGGTGACACACCGGGGGTGGAGATCCCGGTACCGGGTGATGACACACCGGGGATGGGGGTCCCGGTACCGAGTGGTGACACACCGGGGATGGAGGGTCCCGGTACCGAGTGACACCGGGGGTAGGGGGTCCCGGTACCGGGTGGTGACACACCGGTAATGGAGGGTCCCGGTACCGGGTGATGACACACCGGGGGTGGAGATCCCGGTACCGGGTGATGACACACCGGGGATGGAGGGTCCCGGTACCGGGTGGTGACACACCGGGGATAGGGGGTGCCGGTACCGGGTGACACCGGGGATGGGGGTCCCGGTACCGGGTGACACCGGGGATGGAGATCCCGGTACCGGGTGATGACACACCGGGGATGGAGGGTCCCGGTACCGGGTGATGACACACCGGGGATGGAGGGTCCCGGTACCGGGTGGTGACACACCGGTAATGGAGGGTCCCGGTACCGGGTGGTGACACCGGGGGTGAGGGGTCCCGGTACCGGGTGGTGACACACCGGGGATGGGGGTCCCGGTACCGGGTGACACCGGGGGTAGGGGTCCCGGTACCGGGTGACACAGGGGATGGACCGTCCCGGTACCGGGTGGTGACACACCGGGGGTGGAGATCCCGGTACCGGGTGATGACACACCGGGGATGGAGGGTCCCGGTACCGGGTGGTGACACACCGGGGATGGAGGGTCCCGGTACCGGGTGACACCGGGGGTAGGCGGTGCCGGTACCGGGTGATGACACACCGGGGGTGAGGGGTCCCGGTACCGGGTGACACCGGGGATGGGGGTCCCGGTACCGGGTGGTGACACACCGGGGATGGGCCGTCCCGGTACCGGGACTGCAGAAACCACCATCCCCATCCCCCGCACTCCCCCGGAACGGGGTCCCGGTTCTTTTCCAGCGCCGGGACTGACACCGGGGGCTGATGTCACCGGCGGGAACCGGCGCTGAGTCACGGCGGGGCCGCGGGGACCGGAGGGGGGGGTGGTTCCCACGCCCTTTGGTTCATTCATTCATTCATTCATTCATTCATTCATTCATTCATTCATTCATTCATTGACGCAGGCTCCGCCCTCTCCGGTGTCCCCGTCCGGTGTCCCCGGTGGTGGCTGCAGCCCCGGGCTCCCCACCGGGATTCCCCGGGAGTCCCTTCGTGGTTCCGGGCTATCCCGGGGGTTCCAGAGCTCCGGTCCCGGGATTCCATTCCCGAGCGTCCCGTCCGGGCTGTCCCGTTCCCGGTGCCCCGTTCCCGGTGTCCTGGTTCCGGTGTCCCGGGGGTCCCGTTCCCGGTGTCCCGGTTCCCGCAGTTTCATCCGGGCTGTCCCGGGGGTTCCAGAGCTCCGTTCCCGGGATTCCATTCCCGAGTGTCCCGTCCGGGCTGTCCCGTTCCCGGTATCCCGGTTCCCGCAGTCCCGTCCGGGCTGTCCCGGTCCCGGTTCCCGGTGTCCCGGTTCCCGGTGTCCCGGTTCCCGCAGTCTCATCCGGGCTGTCCCGTTCCCGGTGTCCCGGTTCCCGGTGTCCCGGCTCCGGTTGTCCCGTCCGGGCTGTCCCGGGGGTTCCATTGCCGGTGTCCCGGTTCTGGCGGTCCCGTCTGGGCTGTCCCGTTCCCGGTGTCCCGGTTCCCGCAGTCTCATCCGGGCTGTCCCGTTCCCGGTGTCCCGGCTCCGGTTGTCCCGTCCGGGCTGTCCCGTTCCCGGTGTCCCGGTTCCCGCAGTCTCATCCGGGCTGTCCCGTTCCCGGTGTCCCGTTCCCGGTGTCCCGGTTCCAGCTGCCCCGGGGTCCCGTTCCCGATGTCCTGAGGGTCCCGGTCGGGCTCTCGGGGTGCCCCGGGGGTCCCGTTCCCGGTGTCCCGGGGATTTCGGGGGCTTCTGTCCCTGGGGTCCTGTTTCCGGTGTCCCGGGCGTCCCTGTCCCGTTCCCGGGAGTCCCGTTCGGGCTCTGGGGGGTTCCCCGCCCCGTTCCCGGTGTCCCGGGGGTCTCCAGCCTCGTTCCCGGTGTCCCGGGGGTCCCGTTCAGGCTCTCGGGGGGTTCCCCGCCCCGTTCCCGGTGTCCCGGGGGTCCCGTTCGGGCTCTCGGGGGGTTCCCCGCCCCGTTCCCGGTGTCCCGGGGGTCCCGTTCGGGCTCTCGGGGGGTTCCCTGTCCCGTTCCCGGTGTCCCGGAGATCCCTGTCCCGTTCCCGGTGTCCCGGGGGTCTCCAGCCCCGTTCCCGGTGTCCCGGGGGTCTCCAGGCCCGTTCCCGGTGTCCCGGGGGTCCCGTTCCCGGTGTCCCGGGGGTCTCCTGTCCCGTTCCCGGTGTCCCGGGGGTCCCGTTCGGGCTCTCGGGGGGTCCCGTTCCCGGTGTCCCGGGGGTCCCGTTCGGGCTCTCGGGGGGTCCCCAGCCCCGTTCCCGGTGTCCCGGGGGTCCCGGTCGGGCTCTCGGGGGGTTCCCCGCCCCGTTCCCGGTGTCCCGGGGGTCTCCAGGCCCGTTCCCGGTGTCCCGGGGGTCCCGTTCAGGCTCTCGGGGGTTCCCCGCCCCGTTCCCGGTGTCCCCGTCCCGTCCCGGTAAACACTGCGCGGGTCGCCCCGGTTACGGCGTTCCCCGCCGGTGACGTCACCACGTCCGGTGTCCCGTGTTTACGTCGCGTGGCAACGGCCGTGTCCATGGCAACGGGGGCGGGGCCGGGGCGAGGGGCGGAGAAAGGGGCGGGGACACTTCCAAATATGAATAAAGGGGAGGGGTCAGGTAGGAGGGGGCGTGGCTTGCGCCGCCGGGGTTCCCGCGCGTTTCGCGGGGCGGAGGGGGACACGAGGGGACACGGGGGACACGAGAGGACACGGGGGACACGCGGGGACATGGCGGGAACACAAGGGGGATGTGAATGAACACGAGGTGGCCCCAGCACAGCCCATCCCAGCAGTGGGGGGAGGGATCAGACACTCAGGGGTCCCCACGGACCTCAAGGACACCCCGTCCCCCCCCCGATGTCACCCCCATGTCCCCCCCGCAATCAAAGCCGGCTGTCACAAGAGATTTTATTAAAGTGTGACCCCCCCCCCACGCTGGGGGGGGGAAAAGACACGGAAAATGGGGGGAGGGGGGGGCGACACGCACCCCCCGAGTGGGGGGAGGGGTGTGGGGACCCCCGGCCATGCCACCCCCCCTCTGTCACCTCGGGAGGGGGGCCAGGCAGGGACAGGGGTGTCACTGTCACTGCGGCTTCACTTTGGCACTTGGGAGCTTGGCCAGGACCCTGCGGGCACAGCGGGGTCGGGGGGGGGTTGGGACACCCCCAGATCCCCCCGAGGACCCCCGGGAGGGGACAGAGGGGAGGGGGACACGGGGACACTGACCTGGCTCGCAGGTGGCTCAGGTGGCTCCTCACCAGACTCGTGTACTGGTCGATCTGGGCCTGGGGACATTGGGGACACAGAGGGGGCGATTGGGGACACGGAGGGGGCGATTGGGGACATCGGGGTTGGGGGGGGGAAATGGGGACATGGAGGATGGGGGGACAATTGGGGACAAAGTGGGGGGACCGAGGGACACGCACACCCTCCCTACTCCCCCCATGTCCCTTCGTGTCCCCAATGTCCCCAATGTCCCCATTACCTGGTGGCGCCGGTAGAGCACGGGGAAGGTGAATGCGCAGATGACACCTGGCCAG